TTTTGCCACATGCCACTCTGCCTGAAGAATTATCAACTTACCTTTGGATTTTTTCATCCTCCTGGAGCCACCTCGCCGTCAAAGTCCTGTAAGAAAAGAAATCTCTTTATTCTCAACAATATTGAATCTTCGACTTCTCAAACCGTTTGGACTTACCTGGAACTCTTCCCCTCCTTTTCAGATAGATGAACACTGCCACTCTTGTAAATAATAAATCACTTACCTTTTTGTACAACTTGTCCTGCCTCTTCAGTACCACTCAAAGTCTCTCACTGGAAATTAGTTCGACTTACAATGTGGACCAAACTCTGACGCCGGTCATACAGGGACCTAACAACCCGTATCAACAGGCCTGGTACCACATACTCCTGGAGTACCCCCCCACCGGAGTCCCCAAGGGACATGGTCGAATGCCTTTTCCAAGTCCACAAAACACGTAGACTGGTTGGGTGAACTCCTATGCACCCCCCAGGACCCTGCTGAGGGTGTAGAGCTGATCCAGTGTTCCACAACCAGGACCAAAACCACACTGCTCTTCCTGAATCTAAGATTCAACTTTCTGYCAGTCCCTGAATAGACCWWACCAGGGAAGCTTATAAGTGTCATCCCCCTATAGTTGGAACACACTCTGCGGTCCCCCTTGTGGGCAGTTCCCACCAATCCAGGGGAACTGCCCTTGATGTCCATGCAATGTTGTAGAGTCTGCTCAACCACCACAAGCCCACAACAAGCCTTAAGGAACTCCAGGCAAATCTCAACCACCCCTGGTGCCTTGCCACCAAGGAGCTTTTTAACCACCTCAGTGAATTCGGCACCGGAGATTTGAGAGTCCGACCCAGGGTCCCCAGGCTCTGCTTCCTCATGGGAAAATATGTCGGTGGGATTGAGGAGGTCTTCGATGTATTCTGCCCACCAACCCACAATGTCCCGAGTTGAGGTCAGGAGCGCACCATCCCCACCATAAATAGTGTTGGTGGTGAACTGGTTTCCCCCTCCATGCCCGCACTTGTAGGCTGAGGGAGGCTACCCTCTCGTTCACCTGGGTGAACCCCAATGTACAGGCACCAAGATAGGGGGCATTAAGTATGCCCACTCCTGCTCAGTGCCTCTGAGCATGGACAACTCCAGAGTGGAAGAGTGTCCAACCCCTCTCAAGGAGACTTGTTCCAGAGCCAGAGCGGTGCACCGAAGAGAGTCCGACTATGGCTATTCTGAACCTCTCAACCTCACACACCAGCTCAGACTTCTTCCCCACCAGAGAGGTGACATTCCATGTCCCTAGAGCCAGCTTCTGTAGCCGAGGATCAGACCGCCAAAGTCTTCACCTTCAACCACTGCCCAGCACACACTGTACCTGACCCCTACGGCCCCTCCCACTGGTGGTGAGCCCATGGGAAGGGGGCCCCACATCTCCTCTTCAGGCTGTGCCTGACCAGGCTCCATGGGTGAAAGCCCAGCCACCAGGCGCTCGCCAACGTGCCTCACTTCCAGGCCTGGCTCCAGAGTGGGGCCCCGGTTACCCGTGTCTGAGCGAGGGAATACTGACTCCATTTCAGGCACTCATCATAGGGGTCTTTGGACTGCACTTTCTCTGATCCCTCACCTAGGACCTGTTTGCCTTGGGTGACCCTACTGG